TCGATTGCACGGGGTTTCAACAGCTAGAAATTCAAATATTTTGAGTGTGCAATCGATTGCACAACTATGTAAATCGATTGCATTTGAAGTTAGTAGCAAAAATTGATTGAGTGTAATCGAGGAAGTTCTTGGTATGACTCCTCCCAGTTTCCATATACCTTTTCAATCGCCTTGGTCTTTGCTAACCACGCCTTTCGGTAAGACATAGTATAGTTAAATATCGTAGTGATGTGGGAGATTATGGTTTTCACCTTCAATGATGGGTCGTTGTTGATGAGTGGTAGGATTTCTTGACATACGAGATCATAATTTAGTTTTCGATGATCCTGTGATTGAGTAGAACTGACACACATGTGGGTGGACATAGAACCTATGACCCAACAATCACCTCTTAATCTGTATGATGCAGTGAGCTTGAACATATAATCTGGGTGGATACACTTGATCTTGTACCTTTCTGAATTTACATGGTCCATCTTAAAATCGACCGAGCTGAGCATGTGAAATTATTCGATGGCTCGGATACAATCTTCTCTATTACGAAATTTGTCTTTCTCTTTTAAGTTTTCATCCGACTGCATATACAGATTGAAAAATAAATCAGATGACGGTTCATCTCCGTCCATGTTGAAGTTTATCATGTGCGGAGGTGGTGTGTAAATATCGTTTGAAGGAATACCAGGTATCCCATCGTCTTCGAAATCATCATTGACCATGTCGTCAAACTCCAACTCGCCATCTTCTTCTTCTTCATCAACGACATCTACTTCTGCTTGTTCGGTCTCCAGAGGATCAACCACTTGTGACATATGAGGCTCTCACAGCATAATGTACAACTCAATAGAGTCATACCAAGAATACTCATGACCGGGAAACATATTCTGAAGGTCCTCGTCATCTTGAACCTCAACCTTATAAAATATAATTTGGTTGTTACCAAAAAAACCAGATTCTGATAAAAGATTTGTGTCACGGGACCTCGTCCAGGTTTGGCCTCCAATCGTTTTTTGGAATACAAGAAATTGGCTTTCCTATTTAAACAAAATTGGATGTTCTCAGTGTCTCTAAACAAAAACCCAGAGGTGGGACAAATGTATGTCTCACCGTTGAAATATGCACTGATCACATTTGGGGTGCAGAGGCCATTGTGTATGACTGTTTGAAGGTTTGAAGGTTTGAAGGTTTAAAGTATTTGAGTTAATTGCTTGAATTTTTGAATGTTCTAGTGTTTGAGTGATTAAGTGTAGGAGTGTTTTGATAAATGTAAGATTAAATAGGTAGTACTGAATTTGAATAAACCAACATCAAGCAACCTCTAATTCGCCTCCCATCACGTCCAATCGTGTTACATGCATGCAGAGATGCCTTCTCCAAGGCTGTCCACCTCTTATTCGCCAACAGGGATGACGACACCTTTCATTTTTGTACTCTTTCGCCAAGTCCAATGGCGCCTCCCTTCACGTCTAATTGTGTTACATGCATGTAGAGATGCCTTCTCCAAGGCTGTCACCTAGCCTGCACCTACACTGCAACCCATGCCACCTCTTATTCGCCAACAGGGATGGTGACACCTTTCATTTTTGTACTCTTTCTCTAAGTCCAATGGCTCCTCCTTTCACGTCCAATTGTGTTACATGCATGCAGAGATGCCTTCTCCAAGGCTGTCATGTAGCCTGCACCTACACTGTAACCCATGCCACCTCTTATTCGCCAACATGGATGGCGAAACCTTTCATTTATGTACTCTTTCACCAAGTCTAATGGCGCCTCCCTTCACGTCTAATCGTGTTACATGCATGCATAGATGCCTTCTCCAAGGCTGTCACCTAGCCTGCACCTACAGTGTAACCCATGCCACCTCTTATTCGCCAACAGGGATGACGACACCTTTCATTTTTGTACTCTTTCGCCAAGTCCAATGGCGCGTCCCTTCACGTCCAATCGTGTTACATGCATGCAGAGATGCCTTCCCTAACGCTGCCACGTAGTCTGCACCTACAGTGCAAGAGTGACAGTTATCATGCATGCATGCACCCACCTACCACCTCACTTACTCTATGATAAAATTTTGCCTATAAATACAGAGCTTTACATACTTATATTACATCCACAATCGTCTCACTCTCTGCTACAAACTCTTTCATAATCTCATACAATTTCAAACTCTTTCATAATCTCAGACAATTTCAACAATGACTCTTCTCACAATGGGAGATTCTCACAGAGGCATAAGGGAAAACATTGTAGCGTTTGTAAGTTTCTTGTATACTTATACATTTTTCATACGTCTATTAATGCTTTATTCATCTTACCTACTCTTACACTTTTTACATTCCTAACTTAGGATACTAAAAGATTTAAAATTAGGCCACACAACTACCTTGCTCCCGACCCGTTGATCGTACCCTATCTCGAATACGCAGGTTTTAGAAACTTTATAAAGATCTCTAACTGCACGATTGATTCAAAGTTCATACTTGCAATATTGGAAAGGTGGTGACCAGAGACCCATACATTTCATCTACCAATAGGTGAATGTACCGTCACACTAGAGGACGTGTACATGTTATTGGATCTCCCTGTCGATGGTAAGGAGGTTAACGGGTCGGTACAACAACCCAATTCTCTGTGTGAAGAATTGTTGGGCAGGGATATGGTTGAAGGTGCTGGTGCGAGAGGTCAGGGTATACTACTTACTGAGCTAAAAAATCATTATGCGACTCTGGAATTGAACGAAAATTCCTCCGAGCTAGCTAAGGTAATAAAATCTAGAAATTATATAATGATACTATTTGGAACCTTTTTATTTCCCGAAAGTACGGGAAATAGTGTAAATTTTATGTATTTAAATTTACTTAGAGACTTCGAAAAAACTAGTAAGTATAGTTGGGTTTCTGCTGTTTTAGCTCATCTATACAGTTCCTTGTGTAAAAATGCAATCAAGGGAAAATGTACATTTTATGGCTGCGCTTTTTTACTTCAAGCCTGGGGTTGGTGGAGAATGGAGTCCCTAAACCCCGTCAACAACAATACATCCGTTTTCCCATACGCAACAAAGTAAGTCATCAACTTATATCATTTATTACTATTCATCTCTTCACCAAATATATGATGAAAATAAAATATTTTTCAATTCCTTTACTGCGTGAGGGGTATGGATTACAGCAAGAATCCAAGATTCAATATCGCTCTATACCACAATCTATTGGATCACGTTGACTCGGATGATGTACATCATACCTTTCAACTTTTCTACTATTAAATTATTTATTTATTACATTTTCATTAAGCTGATTTAATTTTATCCGCAGTTTGTCTGGAGATAATATTTGGGTTTGGACCATGAACCAAATCCCGAGGATGCAGCAATTTGGAGCGCGAAGACTGCAATCATACGGTTCAATGTTATGGAGATGTACCACAGCGACCGTGTCAAGATGCAGTTTGGAATGCATCAAGAGATACCCTGCGATCCGACTTGTTTGTCCCTGTGACATCTCAAAAGGGTCGACGCCCAATGGGGTCTTACCATCTGAAAAGATTTTGCTTCAGAGTGGTGTAAGATGTGGCAGAGGCGTCACGGACATGTCTTGCAATTCTCAATTTTCCTCAATCATGGTAATATGCGACACACGGATCAATATTTAGATCGATTAGTACCCCAGAAATACACGTGTCTCATCCAAGGTATTTGGTTGACCCACGAACACAATGGCCACAACCCTCATTTCCCCAACAACAAACCCAACACACATCAACCTCCCACCACCCCCCCCCCCCCCCCCCCCGACGAAACAAAACCACAAACACCCAACCACAATCACAACCACAATACAATTACACCCACATGCCCCACAACCAACCACAATCACCACCTCAGTACCAATACCCCATATGCCTCACACCTAACCACAATTTCAATCACAATACTAATACACCCGCATACCCCACACACAATTCCAGTCTTCTACATATCTCAATATGGGCCCCTCAACATCCAACCTTAGCCCTGATCTGGGATTGTCCGAAGATTATGAACCAACCGACCCAACTTACCATCAACCACAACATCACCAAAGCATCCAACATTCCCAATACCAAACACCCCAAGATCCATTTCCTTTCTACCCCCGTACTCAAACGACCAGTGATACAGACCAACCATGGAACCCCACCCACCACCAACACGACCAAACTTTGAGGGTATGGGCAACCGACTGTACCAAAGCGGATCTTCTAGATATGGAGATCTGACCGATTTCATGAATCCGGAACGCATTGACTTCGTTGGGCCATCCATCCAGCCACAACAGGAAACGCGACGAAACTCAGCACGAGAAAGGCGAGGACGGAAATGCTGAACCGGGGGTCATTACCGGGTTCCGGGGGTCCACTGATTAATCTATATTTTTTTTATGTAATCGTTATGTGTGTAATCATATTGTCTAAATAAAAAGTCAATTTTATTGATCTTATATCTTTTACGTAACGTACCGTATTTAAAATAAAAAACGCGAAAAACTGTCTGCCTTTTGCACTAAGGTGCCATCTCACTTGACTTAGGGTAAGCCTTTTACACATAGGCGTCAAGTGAGATGGCGCCTCCCCTTTAAATTAAGGTGCATGCGCCAACTGGGTTGTCTCCTTCCTTGTGGGGTTTTTTGAAACATAGTTATTTGTGGAAAAAAAATTTAATACCTAATTATTTCCAAAGAAAATTCTCTATTTTTCTAAAATAAATTGATATTTCTTTTATTTTATCTAAATATAGTTTTTTAAACATGCTTAACATGTTTTAGTGTTATTATTTTTATCAAGTTTTTTATTTATGAAAGGCACATTATTTTTATCAAGTGCGAATAAGATGTTGTATATAAAACGTAACTAATGATTTGTTGGGGGAAAAACAGAGTGAAAAGTCCCGAAACCCTAAATATAAAAGATTAAGCTGCTGCCGCTTCAGAGTATCATTCACATTTTTTCCCTAAACCGCAAGTGCCATGAAGAAGCTAAAGCGATTGGCATCGGTTTCGACCGAAGATAGGGTTAGTGAGCTTCCTGATGCTATTCTGTGTCACATTCTCTCTTTTCTCCCAACCAAATTAGCCGTTAGCACAAGCATCCTCTCAAAGAGATGGAAACCAATATGGCTTTCTGTCACCACTTTTGATATCTTTGAATTCTTTCCAGACAATGTTCTATGCTCAGTCCTACAATCTCGTGACATCAATTTGCCAATAATATTATTCCGAATTCTATGTTCTGAACCCCAAATTTTCAACCTCCTTATCAACTCAGCAATACCAAGAGGGGTTCAAACCCTAGAACTAAACCTCACTTGTGTACCTTTAAAGATGAAAACTCTTTTTAATATACTCACTTGTAACACTCTCACTCTTCTCAAGTTGACAAATATATTCATTGAGGAAGACTTTCCTCAAAGAATTGTTTCTTCTATCAAAACTCTACATTTGAATGATGTCCATTTCAGATCTGAGAAACATATGATCTGCTTTTTCTTAGCCTTTCCCGTTCTAGAGGAATTACTATCAAATGGAGTACATGTAATTGGTGGGAGGAAGTTTATTCCACAAACAGGAGGAACTATTCATTGTTTGCCCAACTTGCTGAGAGCTAATATTTCTGACATTCAACTTATTTCTTTCTTCTCCCTTTCTCGGGCACTCATTCTCAATGTTAAACAGGTATGATATATAGTTTTTAAATTTTATAAATTATATAAGTAATTTGTTTCTAATGTTTTGACTTTGTAATTCATGAAGAAACCACTTCTCAGCACTGTCCAAATCCCCATGTTTTACCATCTAACTCAAATGGAGCTAGTTTTTAATGTTGAAAAAACATGGCTTGCCAAGTGGAAGTGGATACTAAAAATGCTTCAACAAAGTCCCAACCTTCAACATCTTATCATTCACCAGGTCGGTTTTATAAATAATTCCACTTCGTTATTAATTTTTATTCAAACTCTAACTCTTGTTTTGGGTGGAATATTTTTTGAATTATTTTAGGAAATAGAAAATGAAAATGGAATCAATGACAAGAATTGGGAGGAGCCACAGATTGTTCCGGAATGTCTTTCATCTCAGCTTAGAACCTGTTTGTTTAGATGGTTTAGAGGCACAAAGTGTGAGCTTAAATTTATAAAATATGTTATGCGGAATTCAAAACTATTAAGTCTCATGACAATTTACACCTCCTCTTCCATAATTTTAAACACAAAGGATAAAATATTACATAACTTAGCTGTTTGTCCAAGGAGCTGCAATCTTATATTTGATTGTTCCAGATTTGATCATGTTTGAAACACTAAGAACTATGCTTTATTTTGTCTGTTTCAATGGTATATATACTTTTATATGTAATTTAAATTCATTTTAGTTCCTAATTTTTTTTACTCTATTTTTTATTTCAGTTATCTTTATCATTATCCTGCTATTGTTTATAAATACTGATATGATATGATACATAGTTTTTGTACAAGTGTGTGAAGTGATTTTGCAAGTGTATCTTGCTAATGTTTTTGAGATTGTTATACACTTACTTTGGTCTTTACCATTTTTAGAAATACTTGTATAATGTTTGGATAGAGGTTTGGATAGAGGGTATTAGATTTTAATTTTAAACATTTATAATGCATTCATATATTTATTTTCGACTCTTTTGGATCCCTCAAACTTTTGAAGTCTTTCTCGCTCTAATACTAGATGTTTACTAATCTAGTAACTGACTTGTTTATTAGAATGAAATACTGCTATATAAATAACTTACAAAAAGAAAACTGAATTGAATGTTTCCTAAAAATTAGCCATCAGCACAAGCATTCTCTCAAAGCGATGGAAACCAATATGGATTTCTATCCACACTTTCAATATGTTTGAATTCTTTCCGGATAATGTTTTATGCTCAGCCATGTGTTTACAGTGATTTCTGGTAAACAACCGCTAGTCCTCCAAACTATCGAATAAACTTACTGTTATTCAATTTCTCTGGTAACTCGCAGGATCGACTAGATTGATCCTAGGACGTGTTGGTCATTAGGGTAACTCTCATGATCGAACTGGTATTCATGATTGGTATTTAAAATGTTGTGTAGGTGTTTAACTTATTTCGATTTCTCTGTTAAGGATCTAAAGGTGTAATCAAAATAAATGTGCGCGAAACTAAATTGCATGAATAAAGGTCAATTGTAAAGACATGTAAAAACTGCATAAAAGACAAATAAATGGCTTCGAATCGTAAAGAAAGCAGTTAATGTAAAAGATTCGAAATGTGAAGAAAGCGTTTAATGCAAGAAAACTGTAAAATGGCTTTAAGTAAAAAAGGTGTTCGAAGGATAAAAACTTGAAGATAAAGGCATGAAATGTATAACAGTTTCTGAAATGTAAAGCATTTGAAATGGAAGGAAAGCATTTAAATGTAAGGCATTAGTGAAAAGATTTCGAATAAAAAGACTTTAGATGCAAAAACTTGTAAATGGTATTGATATAAAGATTATGGAAAGTATTGGAAATGATAAAGGGTTTTCATTAAATCATAAACATGTGGTGTTATCATACGTACATTGCTCTTGCATTCATTTCCCTAGCCATGTGGTAATTTGAATGTTTACTGAGTTTTTTTGTACAATAGATATGACACACGAAATCCTAATGCTAAGACTTCTATTTATACTACTTCGACCATAACGGTCTTGCTATAAGATTCTGCCACGTTCAGAACATGCAGAGCAATGCCTCTCTTTTGCTTCCACGTGTCTTCGAATGCTCCAGCGCATATATTTCAAATTTCGAACATCCCGCTTGCATTTGATTTTCAAATGTTTTGGCATTTCTTCGCTTCGAACGCATTTCCTAGACACAACCTTGTTATCATTTCGAGACTTCTTTGGATATATTCTCATAACTGTCACTCGAAGCTCCAAGCTTTGATATGCTCATTCGAAGCATTGCTTCTACTATTTCGAAACATGACGTTTTGTTTCATTTCGATCGAAACGTCCAATTTACTTTGCTTCTCATAATATTATCAAAATCTTCAGCCAACAAAATGCCCATTTAAAATATGTATTTCGATTCCTTTGAGAAATACTTATTTTAAACATATACACAAGATTTTGATGCGACCTTCGAATCATTGTAACATTTATTGCATTTGACTCCAGTCACGTCAATCATAACACTTTTTAGATTCCTTAACCGCCTTGAACCATTTCACAGTATGGTGCAGTTACAAAACAATGATTATCTTTAATCACGCCTATTACCAATGTTAACTTTATGCCACCTCTTCATCAAACCAACCCATGATTACCACGTATCACAACCTTACTCAGTGGATGCTTAAACTTCCACATTATAAAAACCCACCAACTTAGTCTTTTTCCTTTTCTTCCCACATTCTGAATCTTTTCTCCTTCTTTTCTCACCGAAACCCTAAGCTTTCAACATTCTTCCAACAATGTCTTCTTCTACTTCATCCCAACTAAAAAAGGTTTCCAAAAAGAAAGGAAAGACCGCAGGAACTACAATGGAAAGCAAGGTTATCACTCACCAAGGTCAATCTGTTCTTGTTCCCCAAATGATCTCAAAGGAGAAAGAAATGCTTTATGCATCCCAGGTACTTATTCCTACCACCGCTGCTGGCAAGAGGTTAGCTTTAATGGGCCCTCTTACAGTTATTGAAATTTTAAAAGACACCAGAAAATTTTTCCCAGTTTGCTATAATTTCAAACCCCTGTTTAATAAAATGGACGCCCCTAAGGCAATAGAATCTTCTGGCTCAAACACCGTGGAAAATCCAATTGTTCCTCCTAAGGACCCTTTTGTATTGGACTATGTAAAGAGTAACTTCAAACCGTTTCGATCTTGCCCCACCTCCGACACTGCTTATCATAACTGGTTCAATAAGGTAGAAGCTAAGAAATCCCAGCAATGGGAAGAATTAGGTATCTACAACTTGATTAAGCTGTCGAAGCCAGGTTTTACTTATAGCCACCCATTGTTATTCGCGTCCCTATATTTCTGGGACAGTACTTATAATACTTTCCATCTCCCTGGTGGAATGATTACCCCTACCTTCTTTGACATAGCGGCCATCACTGGGCTATCACCAGTAGGAGAAACATATATCCCTGACAACGAAGAACATTCGAGTATAATCGACTTCGAAGTCAAACTAGCAAGCTTTTCAAAGTTTATCAGCCACTACCATGCTGAAGGAGACAGTGTGTCTGATGTAGAACACATTGCTTTCCTTACCTTGTGGCTGTCAAGATATGTCTTTTGCAGCAGATCCCTACAGGTAGCCAGTAGGTTTATTCCTCTAGCTAGAGATTTGCATGAGAATCGGAGAGTGTGCTTGAGCGAATTGCTACTAGTTGATCTTTATGAAAGCCTAAGGTCAGCTGTTTCAAGTCTAAAATCTCACACCTCCAAGAATATCCTGCTAGCTGGCCCTTTCTGGTTGCTTCAGTTCTGGCTAAATGCCATGTTCGAACCTTCATTGTCAACTGCCAACACCATTGCTGAACAAGACCCTGAAATAACGGATAGAATAATCGAAGGCACTCGGCTGTGAAGACTAATCCCAAATGATGATAAGGATTACTTCAAAGTCCTATTCTCAAAATACATCATGATATTCTCCAAGAGGCATAAGTTCGAAGAGACCATGGCGCCTTTTGCTTCAAGGGCTCATGGACCTTCATGGTTCACCATGGCTCTCTCAGAAGCTGTCAAGAGCAAAGAGATTCAAGATGTATGGAGAGCCTTTTTGCTACCCAGACTAATCTCTTCAAGAATAACTCCTGCCAAGAATCAGATTTTCCTTTTCGCTTATCAGCCCAACTTTGTTTCGAGACAGTTTGGCTTGTGCCAACTAATTCATGAACCCTTATTTCAAACTGAGAGTGCCATTACCTCTGGGCGAACCTTCAAGGCACGGGAAGCCAAACTACAGCAAGAACAATACCAAGGCTTTGCCCAGTTTGAGCTAATAACTTTTGAACCTACCCATCTTACAGCAAAGGGGTTTCTGGAATGGTGGACAAAGTTTTATCAAACTTATATGTTCAATACTCTTACTATTCAACAGAAACTAACTGATGCCTTCGATGTGCAGGTACCATCCAAGAAAGGTATGTTCACTCATGCCAAAGAGATTAAAGCTTTTCAAAATTATTTCGAAACTACTTATGATCCCACACACTTGGAATCCACTGTGCATCAAGCGGCTGAGACCTTGAAGGAAAAATTCAAACAAAAAGTTTCTAAGTTAAAACTTCCTTCAGGGTTGTCACCTGAGGATAGGTATAGGTTGGCATTCGAAATGCATCCACCTAAATTTCCTAGATTACCTACCTCAGAACTGGCTCTGGCTTGGTTTCCTCCATACCCTTGGTTGTTCACTTGCAAAGAAATGTTCAAACAACTTCAAAAGAAACCAAAGCCATCTGAGGCTGTGACATGGGCTCGACACTGGCTCCACAATTTCCCAGGACATCTTCGCTATGACCTTTCTGCCATGTCGATTAAATCTGATCAAGGCACAGGTGTGAATGCTTGGGAAAATCCCAAACGTTTTTCATTTTCCATATCTTTAACTTTTGCCTTAATTGTTTCGATTTTCAGCCATCAGGATAAAGACATCCGCTTCAAAGTCGAAAGAAGGGAGCGCCTCTCAAGCCTCTATCGAAACCACTGACAATGTGACTCCATCTGAAACAACAACCATTGCTGCAACAACAACAACAACAATACCAACAATAACCAGTGTTCCACCTCCACAGGTAATCACTTAGCCTTGATGTTTCGAATTCACTAATGTTTCATGATTTGCATCTAACTCTTTGTTTAAATCTTTTCAGACCAACAAACTTCCGCCTACCACTCCAAAGAAGCGAAAATCAAACACCACTGGGGAAGACCCCAAGGCTGGAGGAAACTTACCAGCTGCTTCGAAGAAGAAGCAGAAGAAGGATATTTCAAAGAGCGCTGTACCAACTAGTGTCTCTGGACTCGATTCCAGGGATGCTGCTCCCTCACCCAAATCCAAAATTCCATCTTCGACCTCCAACGTAATGTTGGAACGCATAGCTAGCAACCTCTCTTCCGAGAGTCCACAGGTAAATTGAACTTTAAACCTTTTGACAAAATTTATTTATTACCTTGGTGCATGCTTTTAATATTCTTTCGCTCGTTGCAGAACATCTTAAATCCAGCTTCTACCACTTCGACCTCACCATCAAAAGTTGCTGCTCCACTTAACTCCTTTCCTCAAGGAGACTCCAACAACCTTGTACAGA